ACGGGCCCTTTGTTGCATATTTCCAGAACACAGAAAATGCATTTTCGGACGGAGACCCGTTTGCCAGGAGATACAGAAAACACTTCCTTGATCAATAACGCAAGAGCACCTTTCTTTCTTAAATCCTTTGGTCTTCGTTGGCATCCGCTTGTCAGCTAGCGCATACGTCAATTGCCGCTCAATATCGCGTCGATTGCATCCATCGCCAACCCGTGCCCCATGAATCATGATGGCCCATGATGTATATCCGTCTCGATTGATTTGAACAACGATACTGCCTGCAGTTCTCACACGGGTCACGTTTGTTGTTTCAGCGTTCGTCTTCGATCGTCCTTGTCTTTAATTGGTCGATTCGTTTAGCGTTGTGTAGTTTTATGTAACGTTTGTGTCAGTTTGATGTACCAGCTGTCTAACGTTATTTCGTTAGTGCGCCTCGCGTAGAAGGGATGGTGGCGCGGAAATGGTTCCTGCTCGTGGGCGGGAACGGCAAGGATCTCACATCGACGACTTCTGTTGGTGTGGATGTTGAAGATGTGGATACGTTTCGGGATGCGGTAAAGGAGAAGTTCAGAGACAGTCACCTCGCAGGGATTGCTGCGTCCGATCTCACAGTCTTTGCGAACCGGGCGGAGTACGATGCGAAGCGAAGCGTGCTGCTGCCCCAGTCGGGGTCCCCAGTGACGGCGTATGGGAATAATGAAGAGAATGCGCTCATTGTGCAAGTGCCGACGCAGCGTCAAGTGGTGGTGCCGACGGAATCGCAGAAATCGTTCGTTTGGAAGGAGCCAAAGTCGTTGGTCGCAACGACTGGTGCGAATTGGGATTTCCAGAATTCATTGGATCTCGGCAACCTAGCATCTGCTATCGGTCGTCATTATCAAGCTTGGAGAGATGGAAAGACGGACAAGCGAAGTCATCCGCTATTCGTGTGCTTAGATGGCCCCGGAACTGGAAAGTCGAGATTGCTTGACGAATTTCCGAAAATCTTGCAGCAGGATATCTTTCGCGATGAGACACAAGGCGATCCAGCGATGAAGCAGCTCTTGCAGACAGCCTACAATTTCAAGATCACTTTTGAGAATGGAACAACCAAGCCAGGTAATTTTATTGATCCGGGCCAGGCAATTGGAACTCGAATGCTGTACCAACTGCAGGATTCAGTCGTCTGGGGGGAATTTATGTTGGATCATGCGAATCATGTTGTCCCTGAACAAGTATTGTCGAAATTGTCAGCAATCACTGGAACGGATCCGAGCCAAATGTGCGTGATTCTCTGTGTCGACAGCTTTGCAAAAGCTTCCGCATGAAGCATTAAGCAAAGCGTTCCCGAGTTTTTATACGGCGTTTGCGTCGCTGTGTGACCTCGTCAATGCCTCCAAGTGCTGGGTGATTGTGATCTGCGCGGCGACTATTTTACCACCCAGTGCATGAATTTCTGGGCCGCTTCCGCCACAATGGGAGAGAGATGCTGCAGACGAACATCATGGAAGCCGCCCCGAAAGATCAACGGTAAAAGACGTATTTGGAATTCCATCCCAACTATATGGCCAATGGGAGTCTTTTGAA